GACAGATCCTGAAGCTGAGGCTCCAAGACTTTGGCCACCTCCTGATAAGAGAAGACTCCCTGGAAAATACCCTGATGTTGGGAAAGATGGAGGGCACAAGGAGAAGGGGACGACAGAGGACGAGATGGTGGGACAGTGTTCTTGAAACTACCAGCATGAGTTTGACCAAATTGCAGGAGGCAATGGAAGACAGGAGTGCCTGGCGTGCTCTGGTCCAGGGGGTCACGAAGAGTCAGACAGGACTAAACGACTAAACAACAACAACAACAAGTAGTTTGCAGTCTCTTTGGAGTCCAACGAGACTTCCATGTGTGTGTGTGTGTGGGGGGGTGACAAGAAATTTTCCACACCGGGTGCCACCTGGCCTTCCTACACCACTGTGCAGAACAGCCTATAGAACAGTGTGATGTGTGAATGATCCATGCTGCAAGTTTATCCCTGGAAGAAAAACAACAGCTCTAAAGGGGCCTACAGAACTCTTGATCTAGAGTAATTCAGACGTGGATTTGTAGCTGTGCTTACAGCTCTGGCAACTCATTAGGTCATGGACTCCACTTCCCTGCCCACCTCCCCAGATTTGCACCTTGGTCTGATTAGTGGGGGCCCTGGGGTGTTTTTTTAAGGAGAAAGCGAAGTGTATCTCGCAAACCTAAAGTCTGCCCCCTCTACTTAGTGGAAGCAGTGGGAGGACTTGCCAGTGGAGCTGATGGAGATTAATGACTTCTTCTCTGGTTTCCTTACTCTAATGCTGCTGCTTTGCAGACTTTGAATTAAATGGGGTTTAAAACTGAAACATATGAATATTGATGTTTCGGGTTGGTTTTTATTTATTTTTCGCCTATTGCTTGCTTAGTGATTTGGGGGTGAGTGTAATTGTATTTGTTTCCCACCATGCTATGCATTTTTGTGTTTTTATATTGCAAACGGTCCTGGGATCCTCAGAGGTATAGAAATGTAATTAATAATAATGATAACTGGATCAACTATGGAAAGGTTTGTTAGCCAGCTGCGGATGTTATGTGCAGTGAAGGAATCTTTTCCTTTTGTTTAGGGGAATTCCAATGGCAACATTTGCTAGAGGGCTGACGTGGATTTCAAATACCTGCCTTACGTTCGATATGTTTTGTTTTGTGCCCGTGTTATTTATTTTCTTACTTTGTAAAAAATTATACACCGCTTGATTGCAACAAATCAACAAGCCCTCAGAACGGTTTACGAAAAGGATAAAGGGATGAAACCATCCATATGGAAAAATTATAGCCACAGTTTAAAGACTTTTGAAAAGTTAAAATAACAATGAGCAAAAAACAGACTAGAATTTGCACCAACTTTATAAACATTGGGGGGCAGGGCAGTAATGTTTTTAGTAAAAGGTAAAGGGACCCCTGACCATTAGGTCCAGTCGTGGTCGTCTCTGGGGTTGCTGCGCTCATCTCGCTTTATTGGCCGAGGGAGCCAGCGTACAGCTTCCGGGTCATGTGGCCAGGATGACTAAGCCGCTCCTGGCGAACCAGAGCAGCACACGGAAACGTCGTTTACCTTCCCGCTGGAGCAGTACCTATTTATCTACTTGCACTTTGATGTGCTTTCGAACTGCTAGGTTGGCAGGAGCAGGGACCGAGCAACGGGAGCTCACTCCGTCACTGAGATTCAAACCGCTGACCTTCTGATCGGCAGGTCCTAGGCCCTGTGGTTTAACCCACAGCGCCACCCGTGTCCCGTAGTGTTTTTAGCAGGTGCCAAAAACAGTATAGTGAAGGCCCTTGCCTGATATCAAGAGGCAAGGAGTTCCAAAGTTTAGGCACTACCACACTCAACGATAGATTTTTCACAAATGCGGGACGGGAATTATGTGGCACCTGTAACTGTGCCAGAGGGGAAGGCAGGTCAATTGATCCCAAGCTGTTATGGGCTTCATATACTAATAATGACACCTTGAACTTGTCCTGGTCCTTGATATATTTGCTGTGCTACTTTGTGTTAGGTTTCTGTTATGCCACTGTGCAGTTCTTGGAGTCACAAGACTAAGCTGGACGTCTGGAGTTTGCTACATGTACAGCCAGGGTCTATTTGGTCGTGCAATAAGCAAACAACAGTAAGCTTAATTCTTGTGAAGCTGAACTGAATGCACTGTCTTATTCACTTGTGGATTGTGAATGGTTGTTACAATTGTGTAAAGACATGAAAATTCCTGTTAAGTGTCCAATCCAGGTTTATCAGGACAACAAAGCATGTTTGGCTTTGCTGACTTCTGAAGGGTGTAAGCAAAGCATGAAGCACTTGCAACTGAAGCTACAGCATGCTAGAGAATGTGTTCAGAAAGGACTCGTAACGGTATCCTACATGCCAGGTAATTTCTGAAATTCCTGCTGATTTATTGTCCAAGGTTGTTCCAAGGGATCAACACTGTACCTATGTACAGAAACTGGGTTTGTACTGACACACTGCCCAGTGGTGTTCACAGAAAGGGCGAGGATGTTAGCTTTCTGTTATGCCACTGCACAGTTCTTGGAGTCACAAGACTCTGTTGACATTCCAGGCTGTTGGAAGTCTCACGGCAGACGGATGTTGAAGTTACTGGTTTCCTGTTTCTGTGTCTTGTTGTTTTCTGTCTCTCACAGAGAGCAGATGCATACTCTTTTCTGTCTTGTGTAGTTAGAAATAAAGCAACGTAGCACATATTTCTGGCTCCTTCTGCTGCTGTCTGAGTACTCTGCGCAATGGAGAGCGTACCTGAAGTCTCATTCAAAGGCTTAGGTCGTTAATCACCGTCGGAGGAGTAGCCATTACAGCTCGGTCGTACGGAGGCTCCGACACTTTGAGCATAATTTGGGAAAGCTGCATAGAAATACCAGTTTTTTTGCTCTATAAGACTCCTTTTTTCCCTCCTAAAAAGTAAGGGGAAATGTGTGTGTGTCTTATGGAGCGAATGTAGGCTGCACAGCTATCCCAGAACAGCAAGAGGGATTGCTGCTTTCACTGCGCAGCGATCCCTCTTGCTGTTCTGGCTTCTGAGATTCAGAATATTTTTTTCTTGCTTTCCTCCTCTAAAAACTAGGTGCGTCTTATGGTCTGGTGCGTCTTATAGTGCGAAAAATACAGGAAGCTTGATGATAATGGGCAGTAGAGGGAATAATTTTCTGTTTTTGTTTTTGGGGGCAAGGTCTGAAGACTGCTGTCGTCCGATGACTCCCCACTCGATGCCAGACTTTGAAGGGGTACGAGGAAACCCAAACTCTGGGGCAGAACTTTCTCTCCTCCAACATGACCTGTGCGCAGGTAGGGCAAAGTTCAGTGTCGCACCGTTACAAACCTTACGCCTGTGCAAGCTTTCCCACTTGGCCAATGGAGCGACACCCCCTCCACCCAAATCCGGGGCTGGGGGTTCTCCCAAACCCTTGAGAACCAATTTCTTTTTTGGGGTGTGTGCAAGGCATCTCCCGACAGCATGCACCACGCGAATCTTGCACATGGATTTCGCACCCGGAGAGAAAGGGCGAGAGGAAGCCTCTCTTATTAAGAAAGGGGCCGTTTCTCTCCCAAGCCCATTTTAATAATGGATGGAACTGTCAGTTCCGAAGTGGCTCTGCGTGGGATTGGCTGTCCTTTGAAATGCCTTTTGCTGTTTCCTCTCCTCAGATGCCCAGATGCGCGGGGACTCGGGTCGCCCCTCTCAAGAGCTGCACGTAGGCAGTGCCATTTAGAGAGACGTTCCAGAGGGGGGCACCTGTCAGATCATGTTCCCGGCCCCACACTGCGCTCACATGCAGACATATTTTGCATTAATTGAGAGCGATGGCTCGTGCGATGGCACCAAGAACGCTGAGGATGCAGCGCTCCTCGGACCGCGGCCCTTCTCGCTGGCAGCCCAGGCCGCTGAGGTGCCCCTGCTTTGGGCATCAAGGTGGGCACGCTGTCCCGTTCTATTTTTGTGCCTTGGGGGAGGATCCTTTGTTAAAAGAGTGCGGCAGTTGCGGATGGAGGATGCCCCGGGTCCTGTAGCCAAGGAGGCCTAGAATTTAACAAGTCTCTTTGTAAGATAGCGACAGGGCCAGATCAAGACCCCAATCACTTAAAAGATTTCAGTGCCTCCATATAGAAGACCTAATTCGAATTTTTAACAATGAGAAGCTGTAAAATAAAACTGTACTTTTCAGAATGAAACAAAACCTACAGCAAAATGATGTTTATTTTGGTATGCTTCTACTTTACATTTGCAACTTTTTCTCTTCCTTTTTCTGGCTGCAAAGCCTTTGATCAGATCCTCAAAAAACCAATCTTACGCCACACATCTGCTTCTATACTTAGTAGAGTTAAGGCATCCTGCCTGCCTTGTTGCCTCGTTGTTCTGTTGGATTTTTAATAGACTTCAGCTGAGAAAAGGAACGCTCAGCTGAGCAATCTGTGACCATGAGTGTTAAAAATCTGACAATGGAAAATTTCTGTCTTGCCCCCTTTCCTTGGTGTGTGAGCTTATTTTGCTTAACAGTTAATCTAGCCCTGGACAATGACCTCAGCTGAGGACATCCCCTCAAAATGAGCTCCAGTTGAGGGGGGTCTTTGCATTTCTCATGCACAACATCTCTTAAAACTTCCCGGACGCCAGCCCCTTTCTCTGTACTGGTTGATTAAAACAGGTCCCTAAAATGGTAGAGGGCTTTGGCGCGCATGCACACGCAAGCCGCCTTCCTGCGGGCAAAAAACACGAATAAGCGCAAACTCTACATTGCTTCCCCTCCTCCGCAAAGGTTAGAACCCCAGAAGGCAGAGAAAAAGAGCACACCAAGGTATTATTATACTTTAAAACCTCATTATTATTTCAAAAGAGCCTCATGATTTTTTAACCAGACCCCCGTCTCCTGGCAGCCGAGTGCGTAACATTTGCGCATGGGGGAGAACATTGGCACGTGTGGGGAGGGAGGGGAGGTTGCTGTGGGGATAGGAAGGAAACGATGGAATCGGAGAGATCCCGGGTGTCAAGCAGTTTTTTAGGAGAGGAAGGTAGCTCGGCAATAGAGCATCTGCTTTGAATGTAGAAGGCTCCAGGTTCAAATCCTGAGGGAGAGACAAACATACCCCATCTATAATAATAATAATAATAATAATAATAATATATTATTTATACCCCACCCATCTGGCTGGGTCCCCCCAGCCACTCTGGGTGGCTTCCAACAAAACACTAAAATACAATTATCTTCAGAAACACTGCAAAATTAAGGAATGTTAGAGTGATGTTGGATTGAAAATAAGTGGTTTCCAGCTGTACAGGTTAAAGTTAAGGATAGATTAAGATTAAAGATCAAGATTAAAGATGTTTAAAGAAGTGGAAATTTGATAATAAAAGGGTAAAATTTAAAGGTATATGACATTAAGAACAAGGATTATGTTTAAAAAAGTTGAAGTTATATATTTTAATATTTTATTAAATTAAAGATTGGGTTTAAAAAAGTGGAAAAGAAACTGCTGGACAAATAATGCAGATTGGAATACAAAAGAGGGAGGTATGAGGAAGTCCAGAAAATAAGTAATTTAAAATTGGGAATGGAAAAGAGAGTTTGTTTTTAATTGTTATGTTTTGTGTTTTTATTGTTAAATTTTGTATTGTTTTTTTTTGTGTGTGTTGTTTTTCTTTTTTCTTTGTTTAAAACCTTAATAAAAAATTATTTAAAACAAAACAAAACAAAACAAAACACTAAAATACAATAATCTATTAAACATTAAAAGCTTCCCTAAACTGGGCTGCCTTCAGATGTCTTCTAAAAGTTTGGTAGTTATTTTTCTCTTTGACATCTGGTGGGAGGGCGTTCCACAGGGCAGGCGCCACCACCGAGAAGGCCCTCTGCCTGGTTCCCTGTAACCTCACTTCTCACAGGGAGGGAACCGCCAGAAGGTCCTCGGAAGTGGACCCCGGTGTCTGGGCAGAACGATGGGGCTGGAGACGCTCCTTCAGGTATACTGGACCGAGGCCGTTTAAGGCTATAAAGGTCAGCACTAACACTTTGAACTGTGCTCGGAAACGTACTGGGAGCCAGTGTAGGTCTTTCAAGACCGGTGTTATGTGGTCTCGGCGGCCGCTCCCAGTCCCCAGTCTAGCTGCCGCATTCTGGATTAGTTGTAGTTTCTGTGTCACCTTCAAAGGTAGCCCCACGTAGAGCGCATTGCAGTAATCCAAGTGGGAGATAACCAGAGCATGCACCACTCTGGCGAGGCAGTCTGCGGGCAGGTAGGGTCTCATCCTGCGTACCAGATGGAGTTGATAAACAGCTGCCCTGGACACAGAATTGACCTGCGCCTGCATGGACAGCTGTGAGTCCAGGATGACTCCCAGGCTGCGCACCATCTATAACCCTGGAGGGCACTGCCGGCCAGTGCAGACAACATTGAGGTAGATGGTCCAGTGGTCTGCATAAGCCAGCTTCCTTTTCTTCCCAGGCTAATATTTTTGGGGAAAGGGAGAAATCGCGCCAAAAGCTGGGCTGCCCGTCCCTGCAAACACACGCATAAATAGGAAAGGGTGTCGCTGAGGACACCCAGGGATGGAAGGCTCAGGAAAACACGGGAGAGGTGGGTGAAGCTCATTTCGGAAGAGCCCCAGGTCTTCCGCAGAGACGCTAGACATGAACGGAGGTGGCAGGTTGGAAAGAATTTCAGGGGTCAGGCTCAAGTGAGAGAGTCTCCTGCAGTTCTCTCTTGTGGGTGCTGCAAGAAAACCCCTAAAGAGATTTAAAAAAACAAAATCAAAACTTTGGTAGGGCAAAGCAAAGTCCTCCCAGTCTCTCTGGACTGAAGCAGTGGTACCTCGGGTTACAGACGCTTCAGGTTACAGACTCCGCTAACCCAATAATAATAATAATAATAACAACAACAACAACAATAATAATAATATGTTTTATTTATACCCCGCCCTCTCCAGCCAGAGCCGGGCTCAGGGTGGCTAACACCAGTAAAATTACAGTAAAAACATAAAAGGAAAAAACCCCAATTTAAAATACAGGTTAAAATGTAATTTAAAATGCAGCCTCATTTAAAAAGTAGCCCATAGATCAAAACCATAAGGGGAGGGAAACATAAGGGTCAGACCGAGCCCAAACCAAAGGCCAGGCAGAACAGCTCTGTCTTACAGGCCCTGCAGAAAGATGTCAAGTCCCGCAGGGCCCTGGTCTCTTGTGACAGAGCGTTCCACCAAGTCGGGGCCAGTGCTGAAAAGGCCCTGGCCCTAGTTGAGACCAGCCTAACCACCTTGCGACCTGGGACCTCCAAAATGCTGTCATTTGTGGACCTTAAGGTCCTCCGCGGGGCATACCAGGAGAGGCAGTCCGGTAGGTACATAGGTCCTAGTACCTCAGGTTAAGAACTTTGCTTCAGGATGAGAACAGAAATTGCGCGGTGGCAGCAGGAGGTCCCATTAACTAAAGAACAGTTTCAGGTTAAGAACGGACCTCCAGAACAAATTAAGTTCTTAACCTGAGGTACCACTGTATTGTATATCCCCCTTTCCCCCCTCAAGGAGCTCAAGGTGGCATATACATGGTTCTCCTCCGTCTCGTTTAATCCCACAACAACCCTATGAGGTAGGTTAGGCTAAGAGATGCCAAGTGACTTGACCAAGGTCACCCGGTGAGTTTAATGGCTGATCTGAATGCTGGTCTCCTGGGTCCTAGTCTGACCGATTGAACTGCTACACCACACTGGTTCTCTAAACATCATATTATGGAGGTTGTTTTTTTTAAAAAAAAATACTATTTGGATTTAGGTACATTTTTAAACATAATTGACATGGACTTTGTCTAGCGAAATAAACTTGTGGAAGGTGGGTTTGCAAAATAGTCTTTCACCACAGCGAGTCCTGAGAGCTTCCCGCCTCCCAAAATGAGGGCAAAAATGTTTAAATACCCAGGAAGCGTGATTTCCCTGGAAATGTGTGAGGGCACGGACTCTGAGTTTTGCAATGCAAGATTCTAGGTGAAGTCAGGAATTCAAAGCTTCTGCTGGATCAGGCCCCAAGGTTACAGAATCATAGAATTGTAGAGTTGGGAGGGAACCCAAGTGGTCATCTAGTCCAACCCCCATCCAGTCTGGCCAACCAGATGCCTAGAACTCAGACCTGGGTGCAGCTGTCCATAGCTAGTAGCAATTGACTGTCTTGTCCTGCATTAACATCCCTTGCCCTCTTTAAAGCATTCCAAGCTGTTGGCCTTAACTGCCTCTTGTGCCAGGGAGTTCCACAGTTTAACTGTGCGCTGTGTGAAGAAGCAGCTCCTTTTAAATCCTCCTATACTGAGAGCCAGTGTGGTGTAGTGGTTAAGAGCGGTAGACTCGTAATCTGGGGAACCGGGTTCGCATCTCCGCTCCTCCACATGCAGCTGCTGGGTGACCTTGGGCTACTCACACTTCTCTGAAGTCTCTCAGCCCCACTCACCTCACAGAGTGTTTGTTGTGGGGGAGGAAGGGAAAGGAGAATGTTAGCCGCTTTGAGACTCCTTCGGGTAGTGATAAAGCGGGATATCAAATCCAAACTCTTCTTCTTCTATACTGGGAGCACGTCAAAGTGCAAGTAGATAAATAGGTACTGCTCTGGCGGGAAGGTAAACGGCGTTTCCGTGCGCTGCTCTGGTTCGCCAGAAGCGGCTTTGTCATGCTGGCCACATGACCCGGAAGCTGTACGCCGGCTCCCTCGGCCAATAAAGCGAGATGAGCGCCGCAACCCCAGAGTCGGTCACAACTGGACCTAATGGTCAGAGGTCCCTTTATACTGGACACTGGGTCAAAAAACACCCTGGTGTTTCCTTAGGCTCCTTAACCTTTTGCTCCTCCAGAGATGCCTGTCGCTGTTTTAATTTACTGTTCGGTTGCATGCTCTATTTGTTTTACTCCGGCTGTCTGATAATCTGGTATTGAAAGGCAGGATAAAAAGGTTTTAAATAGATAAATAAATTTAAACGGCTGGCAGCCACAACAGCAGCCCAGGGGTTGGGGAGCGAAGCGGCTGCATCTCTCATTTTGCCGTTCTGGGTGCATCCGTCTGGCACCTTCCAGACAAATTTAACCAGCAGTATCATAGGGAGCTGGGGTGGGGGGCTGCTTTTGTTTCACTGATCTTGCCCTTCCCACAGCAAAACGGCTGTCCCCTTCCTTCTCCACCCTCACCACAAGCCTGCGAGGGAGATCAGGCCAAGTGACGTAGAATCGTAGACTTATTGCGTTATGTGCCTTTGGAATGGAGACAGTCTCTGGAGTGATGCTCCCCTGTGGCACATCTGTAACCTCATAGGATTATAGGACTGTAGAGTTCGAAGGGATCCCCAGCTCACCTCGTCCAACCCCTGCAATGCGGGAATCACAGCTAACCCCAATTCCTGCAGAGGTTCTGTTTGTGGGGGTTCCCCTAATGAACATCTGGCTGGCCACTGTGAAAAGAGGGTGCTGGACTAGGTTGGCTTTTGGCCTGATCCAGCAACAAGACTTTTCTTATGGAACCTCCAGCTCCAGGGGCAGTCTATCTAGATCCCTAGGTCCTTAAGGTGTAGTTGGCCACTTTGAGAACAGGATGCTGGGCAAGGTGGCCCCCTGGCCTGATCCAGCAGCCTCTTCTTTTTCTCTTAGCAGAGAGCCTGCTTTATCATCCCCATTGTTGTTGTTGTTTAGTCGTTTAGTCGTGTCCGACTCTTTGTGCCCCCCTGGACCAGAGCACGCCAGGCACTCCTGTCTTCCACTGCCTCCCGCAGTTTGGTCAAACTCATGCTGCTACCTTCAAGAACACCGTCCCACCATCTCATTCTCTGTCGTCCCCTTCTCCTTGCGCCCTCCATCTTTCCCAACATCAGGGTCTTTTCCAGGGAGTCGTCTCTTCTCATGAGGTGGCCAAAGTCTTGGAGCCTCAGCTTCAGGATCTGTCCTTCCAGTGAGCACTCAGGGCTGATTTCCTTCAGAATGGATAGGTTTGATCTTCTTGCAGTCCATGGGACTCTCAAGAGTCTCCTCCAGCACCAGAATTCAAAAGCATCCATTCTTCGGCGATCAGCCTTCTTTATGGCCCAGCTCTCACTTCCATACATCATTACTGGGAAAA